TTACCGATCACTGCACCTTACCGACCACTGCACCTTACCGACCACTGCACCTTACCGACCACTGCACCTTACTGACCACTGCACCTTACCGATCACTGCACCTTACCGATCACTGCACCTTACCGATCACTGCACCTGTAATTAGCCCACCCAACTACCTCATCCCCATATTGTTATTTATTTTTGCTCATTTGCACCCCAGTATCTCTATTTGCACATCATCTCATCTCTATCATTCCAGTGTTAATACTAATTGTAATTATTTTGCACTATGGCCTATTTATTACATTTACATTTTACATTTTAGTCATTTAGCAGATGCTCTTATCCAGAGCGACTTACAGTTAGTGAATACATATATATATATATATTTTTTTTTTCATACTGGTCCCCCGTGGGAAATGAACCCACAACCCTGGCGTTGCAAACGCCATGCTCTATCAACTGAGCGACATCCCTGCCGGCCATTCCCTCCCCTACCCTGGACGACGCTGGGCCAATTGTGCGCTGCCCAATGGGTCTCCCGGTCGCGGCCGGCTGCGACAGAGCCTTACCTCCATAACTTGCTACATTTGCACACACTGTATATAGATTTTCTGTTGTATTTTTGACTGTATGTTTTGTTTTACCCCATATGTAACTCTGTGTTGTTGTTTTTATCGCACTGCTTTGCTTTATCTTGGCCAGGTCGCAGTTGTAAATGAGAACTTGTTCTCAACTGGCTTACCTGGTTAAATAAAGGTGAAATAAATAAATAAAAGACAGGGTCGGTGGTCCTTTCTACAACCGGGGTCCAGGACTTGGCCTGAGCCAGGGTCTGGGTCTAGTTGTGGATTGGAGCCAGACGGACCATACCTGTCCATTCATTCCAGCCCCATTCATAGTCAAGTTGAGTCCTGAGGCCCATTGCTCCTTATTGTCCTAGCACAACGACCCAGTGGCAGCAGCAGCATCTAGGTGACAGAGGCTGGACACTGAGGCATTCTATAATGGCTTCATAAACTCATTAGGGATGGTTAGTGATAGGTGTGGGATAGACTAGAAAGGGCATGGTTACAGTGGCTGCTAAATGTGTCGATCAGGCGCCAAAAGCAGCCCCTTTCAGCACTGTGATAATAATGATGACAGTGCTTCAGAGTGCCTCTGGGCTTTCTCTTCAGAGTCTCTCTGGTCTTTCTCTTCAGAGTGCCTCTTGGCTTTCTCTTCAGAGTGCCTCTCTGGGCTTTCTCTTCAGTGCCTCTGGGCTTTCTCTTCAGAGTGTCTCTCTGGGCTTTCTCTTCAGAGTGTCTCTCTGGGCTTTCTCTTCAGAGTGCCTCTCTGGGCTTTCTCTTCAGAGTGTCTCTCTGGGCTTTCTCTTCAGAGTGTCTCTCTGGGCTTTCTCTTCAGAGTGTCTCTCTGGGCTTTCTCTTCAGAGTGCCTCTCTGGGCTTTCTCTTCAGAGTGTCTCTCTGGGCTTTCTCTTCAGAGTGTCTCTCTGGGCTTTCTCTTCAGAGTGCCTCTCTGGGCTTTCTCTTCAGAGTGTCTCTCTGGGCTTTCTCTTCAGAGTGCCTCTCTGGGCTTTCTCTTCAGAGTGCCTCTCTGGGCTTTCTCTTCAGAGTGCCTCTCTGGGCTTTCTCTTCAGAGTGTCTCTCTGGGCTTTCTCATTCAATCATGTGTCAATTGTGGATGAGCCTACTGGTTGTCATTCCACGTATACAGCTGCCTTTCACCTGAGCAGTTGAAAATGAAAGAGAAATATAGTCCACAAAACACAAACGCATGCCATAAAAGGTGATGGAAACAGTTAATAGGTAAAGGGTGTCAGAGTTTAGGCCGTTAAGGGTGTCAGAGTTTAGGTGGTAAAGGGTGTCAGAGTTTAGGTGGTAAAGGGTGTCAGAGTTTAGGCAGGTTAAGGGCGTTTAGGTGGTTAAGGGTGTCAGATTAGGGTAGGTTCAGAGTTTAGGTGGTAAAGGGTGTCAGAGTTTAGGTGGTTAAGGGTGTCAGAGTTTAGGGGGTTAAGGGGTCAGTTTAGGTGGTTAAGGGTGTCAGAGTTTAGGTGGTTAAGGGTGTCAGAGTTTAGGTGGTTAAGGGCGTTTGGTTAAGGGTGTCAGAGTTTAGGTGGTTAAGGGTGTCAGAGTTTAGGTGGTTAAGGGCGTTTAGGTGGTTAAGGGCGTTTAGGTGGTTAAGGGTGTCAGAGTTTAGGGGTTAAGGGTGTCAGAGTTTAGGTGGTAAAGGGTGTCAGAGTTTAGGTGGTTAAGGGTGTCAGAGTTTAGGTGGTTAAGGGTGTCAGAGTTTAGGTGGTTAAGGGTGTCAGAGTTTAGGTGGTAAAGGGTGTCAGAGTTTAGGTGGTAAAGGGTGTCAGAGTTTAGGTGGTTTAAAGGGTGTCGGTTTAGGTGGTAAGGGTGTCAGAGTTTAGGTGGTAAGGGTGTCAGAGTTTAGGTGGTTAAGGGTGTCAGAGTTTAGGTGGTAAAGGGTGTCAGAGTTTAGGTGGTAAAGGGTGTCAGAGTTTAGGTGGTTAAGGGTGTCAGAGTTTAGGTGGTAAAGGGTGTCAGAGTTTAGGTGGTTAAGGGTGTCAGAGTTTAGGCAGTTAAGGGTGTCAGAGTTTAGGTGGTAAAGGGTGTCAGAGTTTAGGTGGTAAAGGGTGTCAGAGTTTAGGTGGTTAAGGGTGTCAGAGTTTTAGGGGTTAAGGGTGTCAGATGTTAAGGTGGTTAAAGGGTGTCAAGTTTAGGTGGTAAAGGGTGTCAGAGTTTAGGTGGTAAAGGGTGTCAGAGTTTAGGTGGTTAAGGGCGTTTAGGTGGTTAAGGGTGTCAGATTTAGGTGGTAAAGGGTGTCAGAGTCTAGGTGGTTAAGGGTGTCAGAGTTTAGGTGGTAAAGGGTGTCAGAGTTTAGGTGGTAAAGGGTGTCAGAGTTTAGGTGGTTAAGGCCGTCCCCTGGCCATGACTATGAAAAGAGGCCCCTTGAACAATGGGCCAGAGTGTATTTCCTGTCTGGCTCCAATACACAAACACCACTACAGTAGCTCCTCTCTGAGTTGGCACTAGCCTATAGGAACCATAACCCATTTTACATCAAACAATATCAGATATTATCTTCATATGACCATACTAATCCCAAACTGTTATCATCACTGTCCCCACTCACACTCCCCACTGGAGTGACTCTAGTTGCCCATCAGTTGAGTGGACAGGACTGGTGTCTACTCGGTCTAACCAACGATCAATTCTGAAGTTGAGTGACATTGAGATCATTGTGATTAGTGATAAAAAGCCTGTGTGAGGAGTTGATGCTACTTTCTCAGGCCCATGAAGGTTAAGTAAACAGTGATCCAGATGTTCTGGACTCCACTAGTGTGAAAACTACGCTGGGGTGGGTGGTCTGGCCGGTGACCCATCAGAAGACTGTTTCATTGTTCAGGCCGAGTCGACAAACCCGCTGTTTGCCTTGTTCATTAGGCATCACAGTGTCAGCTACATAGAATAAATACAATGGCTCTGAAGTCAACGTGACTAACGGTTCTCTTCACTGTTCAAATGTGTTTTAACTGTTATTTAAAGTTCACAGTGACGCTCTCCGCTGCTTCCAACATGATAGAAGCGAGCTGGTGGAGTTTGCAGAGCTGGTCATAATCCCAGGTTGAAAGAGGAGCCTTTGTCCTAAAGTAGTGTATGAAAGCAAATCACTTCCTTTAAAGAAGCCGCGATGCTTTTCATCTGACGCTTTTAAGTCTCTAATGAAGAACCAATAATGGGGAGCTGCTCTCTTTTCGGCATTTCCTGTCAACCCAGCCCAAATATGTCATATAAGGTTGTAGGCTATAATGGATTCTTTCATCACTACAATGGATTTCGAAAGATGTAATAAATAAGTTACTATGAGAGTGAATAATTAAAATTGTGTGGTAACTGTTATATACAAGTTAACGGTTATTACGCACAACCCAGAGAAGCCTCTCTGTCACCGTTCTGTGTTTTGATGAAGAGATCAAACCGTGGATTAACGCGCTGTCTGCGATCAGTGACGTAGCAGTTAGCGCACCGGACCTGGTGAATCTGACGCCTCGTGCGATGCCCCACTAGTCATTCCATTTTAATGTGACACTACAACTGTAAAAAGACACACTTTGGACAACGACCAATCTTTATATAATTATAATTAGTTTCAGGAGCGAGAGTGAATAGTTTGTTTACGTAGATAGCCAACACTTAGTTTCAGGAAAATAGCTATAAAAAAATAAAAAAAGAGTATATTATTCTTTATTTCATAAGGCCTTTATTTTGATTCAGTCCAGTGCTCATCAGTGGGAATACAAATCATAGGCCTATACAAGCCTGAAAACACCTGATTGGCGCTTGATCGGCTAAATCACACACCTATATAATGCAACTAATGTACACAATTAAACGTATCATTTTCTCCAAACTCTTAGGAAAAACTTCAATTTCTTCAATCAAAACGAAACCTGAATAAAGTCCTGACATTGTTACCTATAATTCCAATTGAGCATCAGACTTGTCTACAATGTGATTTTAATGTTACAGCTTTTTTTTTAAAGTCGCCCTCCAATTGTGAAGCTATTTGTTCCGCTGCTTAGAGCATCTGTCGGCTAGCTTTGATTTAAAAGGGACCAAATAAGATGATTTGGTGACATCAAGGCCTTCCCAGCGGTAATGATTACATTCGGAGCTCAGATCCACGCAAGAATTTGTATCCCACTAAACCTTCTGAGATCCCCTACCCACCCCCACAGTGCTGGGTCTTGTCCTATTAGGGTATTTGACAATCCCAGCTTGTACTACTCCATCAATGAATTGGATAGGTTGTAGGGATGCTCGTTCCTCTCATCTGCTACTTAGAAAGACAAAGGCCCGCTGGGGGGCTGTTGACACCTCGAGGTCCGGGGAAGGGTATAAAGGGGGATCTATTTCAGTTGGGAGCAGTACTCATCTCCTCGCTGCACCGGGAGAAACAGCCTACCTTGGACATACATCAACTTTATTTTCCTTTTCCGTCACGACTGACAACATGCAAGTATCGAACAGACCAACAGGAGTGGGAGCGTACGGGTACTCCGCCATGCGCCATTACGCTTCACTCTATCCACAGCACAGCAGCAGCCAGTGCGCAGCGGCGACCAAGCCTGCCAGCGGGAAATCCTTCACCATTGACGCCCTGCTCGCCAAGCCGGCGGAGACACACATAGACCGGACGAGTCCCATTCACTGTAGACTCAAATACCAACCGACAGCGCCACTACACCCCTTCCAGACCCAGATGAACTCAGCGCTGCCACAGTACCTCTACTCACCCAACATGCTGCACACGCCGATGCACAGTCACACACAACCCGGATACTCTGTCTACTGCTGTCCGCCGTTCTCCCACCACGCGTCATGCCATGGGGCCTTTTACGCACACGGTAAATGTCAATCTAACGTGCCATTCTAACTTATTCCATGATCCAAACTAAACACAATGGCCTAAAGAAAAGCACGACATGGTTTTAAACTGTTGTCAATCTCTCTCCTTCACAGAAACAGGTCTGTCAATGTCCCACTCATTCAAACACAAGGGAGGGAAATCCAAGCGGATGCGCACCAGCTTCACCAACGAGCAGTTGGACCGGCTGGAGAAGGAGTTTGCCCGGCAGCAGTACATGGTCGGCTCAGAGAGGTTTCTTCTGGCGTCGGCTCTGCAGCTCACAGAGGCTCAGGTACAAACCAGATTCCAACTCAAACTGCAAACTTTCTTTGAACCAAAGCAAAGGCCCAACTTAATAGTTTTTTTTTTTTTTTTTTTTTATAGAATGAGAATGATAATACGATTGGCACTGACGTTTATAACGTTAAAAAAAAAAAAAATCCTTAAAACCAAACATTCATTTTCTTATTTTCAGGTTAAAGTCTGGTTCCAGAATCGACGCATCAAATGGCGCAAGCAGAGTCTGGAGCAGCAGCAGGCCAAGCTGGTCAAACTGGGCCTGGCCGCCCCGGTGAAGAGTCCTGGTTCTCAGGGTCTGGAGGAGGAGGATGAGGAGATCGACTTCTCAGACGGATAAGATGTGGATATAGACGGGCTCCCTGGCCACTGCAGACCGGTCTTGGACCACAGAACCAGACATCTGTATACACCGCTGAAGACACGGGGCAGAGAACTACACCACCCCTTACTGTATAAATATTTAATTAATAGATGTATAGCTTCTATATTTAAACGATGTTTCTTACTTTATTGCTCCTATGAGAGTCTCTTTTTGTGAAATCAATGTTTGTATATTTTGATTGACATATTCAATAAATCTATTTTCTAAATCTTGTGTGTCCATTCCTTATCCCAGTACTGTTTTAAAACAATCATATCCCTGACAACACATTAAAGGAGAGGTTGCGAGAAAATCTACTCTCAGGCTACATAACTTTTAATTGAACGTTTGTGAGTCAAACTGATGGATGGCAAAGACGCTGAGTTGCTAGAATAATTATTTAATTATTAATTTCTATTTTTCGTTAGGTGGAATTCTAGAGATATTAAACAAAGCATATCAGCGTTTGTCCTAATTTTAGGAAACACTGTCTATTCTAGATAATATAAACTTGAAATGCAGAGCAATAATAATCATTATTTTATTTCTATACCAGGTTGAGACTATTTGATCTAAATCCTAGGCATTATTGAAGATATCAGTCCCTATAGTTTAGTCTCTCTCTCTCTCCAAAGGGCTTTATTGGCATGGGAAACATGTGTTAACATTGCCAAAGCAAGTGAAATAGAGAATAAACAAGAGTGAAATAAAAAATCCGAAATTAACAGTAAACATTACACTCACACAACTTTCATAATAATATATATTTCAAATGTTATATTATGTCTCTGTACAGTGCTGTAACAATGTGTTAAAGTACAAAAGGGAAAATAAATAAACATAAATATGGTTTGTATTTACAATGGTGTTTGTTCTTCACTGGTTGCCCTTTTCTTTTGGTTACAGGTCACAAATCTTGCTGCTGTGATGGCACACTGTGGTATTTCACCCAGTAGATATGGGAGTTTATCAAAATTGGATTCGTTTTCGAATTCTTTATGGGTCTGTGTAAACGGAGGGAAATACACTACATTTCCAAAAGTATGTGGACACCTGCTCGTCGAACATCTCATTCCAAAATCATGGCCATTAATATGGAGCTGGTCCCCCCTTTGCTGCTATAACAGCCTCCACTCTTCTGGGAAGGCTTTCCACTAGATGTTGGAACATTGCTGCGGGGACTTGCTTCCATTCAGCCACAAGAGCATTAGTGGGGTCGGGCACTGATGTTTGGCGATTAGGCCTGGCTTGCAGTCGGCGTTCCAATTCATCCCAAAGGTGTTCGATGGGGTTGAGGTCAGGGCTCTGTGTAGGCCAGTCATGGTCTTCCACACCGATCTCGACAAACCATTTCTGTATGGACCTCACTTTGTGCACGGGGGCATTGTCACGCTGAAACAGGAAAGGGCCTTCCCCAAACTGTTGCCACAAAGTTGGAAGCACAGAATCGTCTAGAATGTAATTGTATTCGCTGTAGTGTTAAGATTTCCCTAGGATCTAAGCGGACTAGGAAACCATGGTGTCACGACTTCCTCCGAAGCTGCCTCCTCTCCTTGTTCGGGCAGGCTTCGCCGGTCAACGTCACCGGCCTTCTAGCCACTGCCGCTCCTCATCTCATCATTCCATTTGTTTTGTCTTGTTTATTACACACACCTGGTTCATATCCCCTCATCAGTACCTGTATAAGTGTTCCCTCTGCCCCCCTTGTCTTTGTGTATGATGGTTTATTGTGGAGGATAGTGAAGCTCGGTGGAGCTCTGTGAATTTTGTATTGCCGGGATATTTTCCTGTGTGCCTTGTGTTACCCCCTGTCTCTCCACTGTCTCTCCATGATCTGTCTCTCCATGCTCTGTCTCTCCTCTGTCTCTCCACTGTCTCTCCATGCTCTGTCTCTCCATGCTCTGTCTCTCCTCTGTCTCTCCTCTGTCTCTCCTCTGTCTCTCCATGATCTGTCTCTCCATGCTCTGTCTCTCCTCTGTCTCTCCTCTGTCTCTCCTCTGTCTCTCCATGCTCTGTCTCTCCATGCTCTGTCTCTCCTCTGTCTCTCCACTATCTCTCCTCTGTCTCTCCTCTGTCTCTCCTCTGTCTCTCGTCTGTCTCTCCTCTGTCTCTCCTCTGTCTCTCCACTGTCTCTCCTCTGTCTCTCCTCTGTCTCTCCTCTGTCTCTCCACTGTCTCTCCACTGTCTCTCCACTGTCTCTCCACTGTCTCTCCACTGTTTCTCCTCTGTCTCTCGTCTGTCGCTCCACTGTCTCACCACTGTCTCTCCATGATCTGTCTCTCCACTGTCTCTCCACTGTTTCTCCTCTGTCTCTCCACTGTCTCTCCTCTGTCTCTCCACTGTCTCTCTACTATCTCTCCACTGTCTCTCCATGATCTGCCTCTCCACTGTCTCTCCACTGTCTCTCCTCTGTCTCTCCACTGTCTCTCCACTATCTCTCCACTGTCTCTCCATGATCTGTCTCTCCACTGTCTCTCCACTGTCTCTCCTCTGTCTCTCCACTGTCTCTCCACTGTCTCTCCTCTGTCTTTCCACTGTCTCTCTACTATCTCTCCACTGTCTCTCCATGATCTGCCTCTCCACTGTCTCTCCACTGTCTCTCCTCTGTCTCTCCACTGTCTCTCCTCTGTCTCTCCACTGTCTTTCCACTGTCTCTCCACTATCTCTCCACTGTCTCTCCATGATCTGTCTCTCCACTGTCTCCATGCCACTCTGTCTCTCCACTGTCTCTCCACTGTCTCTACTCTGTCTCTCCACTATCTCTCCTCTGTCTCTCCTCTGTCTCTCCACTTCCCTCCTCATACCACCCTGCCTACCTCCCTCCCTAACCAAAACCGTTCCTGCAACTCTCCCACTCACACCCAACCTGTTCTCCTCCCTCCACCACCCAGAAAATTCGATCTACCATCACACACACCATCACACAACACTGTTCTACCAAATCCACCACCCTGTTTATCCCCTCACAACAAACCCATGTTCTTCTCCCCTCCACCACCCCTGTTCTCTCTCTCCACCACCCCCTGTTCTTCTCCTCCACCACCCTGTTCTCTCTCCCCTCCACAACCCTGTTCTCTCTCCCTCCACCCCCCCCCTGTTTCTCCCTCACCACCCCTGTTCTCTCTCCCTCCACCAAACCCCTGTTCTCTCTCACTCCACCCCACGTTTCTATCCACTACAACCCCCTTGTTCTCTCTCCCCTCCACCACCCCCTGTTCTCTCTCCCCTCACACCCACCCCACCCGTTCTCTCTCCCCTCCAACACCCCTGTTCTCTCTCCCCTCCACACCCCTGTTCTCTCTCCCCTCACCACCCCCTGTTCTCTCTCCCTCAACCACCTGTTATCTTCCCCTCCACCACAACCCTGTTCTCTCTCCCCTCCACCACCCAACGGTCTCGCTCCCTCAACAACCACTGTTCTCGTCCCCCCACCACACCTGTTCACTCTCCCATCCAACACCCTGTTCTGCTCTCCTCCAACCACCCTGTCTCTATCCCTCCAACACCCCCTGGTCTCCTCCCATCCACCACACCCCCTGTTCTCTCTCCCCCAACCACCCCTGTCTCTCTCACCTCACACCACCCCCCACCACCCTGTTCTCTCTCCTCCACACCCCCTGTTTCTCTCCCTCCACAACCCCTGTTCTTCACCTCCACCACCCCTGTTCTTCTTCCTCCACCACCCCTGTTCTCTCTCTCCTCCACCACCCCTGTTTTCTCTCCCTCCACACCCCCTGTTCTCTTCTCCTCCACCACCCCCTGTTCTCTCTCCCCTCCACCACCCCCTGTTCTCTCTCTCCTCCACCACCCCCTGTTCTCTCCCCTCTACCACCCCCTGTTCTCTCTCTCCTCCACCACCCCCTGTTCTCTCCCCTCCACCACCCCCTGTTCTCTCTCCCCTCCACCACCCCCTGTTCTCTCCCCTCCACCACCCCCTGTTCTCTCCCCTCCACCACCCCGTTTCCTCTCACCCGGTCTCCCTGGTTCTGATGATTAGGGGAGCTTGGGAGTTTTGGTAAGACATCATGGAACCCTGTAAGCGTCTCTGATGTGATCAGGGATCCTCCCTCCTCCCTCCTTCCCCCTTTCCCCCCAGCCCGGCGTAATCCCATTGTGGGACAGAATGAGGCAGTCAGAGGCCTGGGAAAACCTGTGGGGGAACTGAGGGAGGGAGGGATGGAGGGAGTGGTGGAAGAGGGGGGATCTTGGCTCCTCGTAGCAATTAGCCCAGGACACCCTATAACACCCTAACCCCAGAAAACATCCCATTACACCCAAACCACGTCCCCAGGCTAATTGCTACAGAGAGAGTTGACTGGTGGACAATATTATAGATTTTTCTAACCCCTAAAAACCTTCCAGTATGGCATGTGGTCTGGACTAAGCCCCTTGGGTATCTCCTACGGTATCTCCTGGTTATCTCTTTGGGTATCTGGGGTATCTGGAGTATTTCCTGGGGTATCTGGGGTATCTCTTGGTTATCTCCTGGGGTATCTCCTGGGATGAGTGGATGAGTGGAAATGCCTCGGGGGATACGAACAAAGAATCCAATTCAGGAAAGTCTAATTTCTGGTAGAAATGCTGGTGAGTGAACACCAATCTAATATCCAAAAGTTATTTTCAGCTGTAGGTAATGGTGCAAGAAATAAAACAAAACAATTATAATACTGCAAAAATGGTCTAGGAGCTAGGAACAGGCCGGCCATGTCTGTCGATGTATACACTGACTCGGTGACTGAGTTCATCAGGAAATGCATAGAGGATGTTGTTCCCACTGTGACGATTAGAATTCATCCAAACCAAAAAACATGGATAGATGGCAGCATTCACACAAAACTGAAAGTGCTGGGAACATGGACAAGTACAAACAGTCCAGCTATGCACTCCGTAAAACAATCAAACAGGCAAAACATCAGTATAGAGACAAAGTGGAGTCGCAATTCAACGGCTCAGACACGAGACATATGTGGCAGGGT